TCCCTCTCTCTTTCTTTCCATCTCCTTTCTCCTCTCTCCCTTCTTCCCCTTTTTCTCCATTTTCTCCTCTCCCTCTCTCTTCTCTCTCTCTTTTCCCCCTTTCTCCCCTCTCTCCTCTTCTCCATTCTCCTCTCTCTCCTCTTCTCTCTCCCTCTCTCCCTCCCCTGTCTCCCTCTTTCCCATCTCTTCCTTCCCTTATCCCTCTCCCTCTTCCCCCTCCTCTCTTCCTATTTCACAGGAATGGCGGCGGCACAGTGCCTCTTCCCCGCTTAACTCCGGAATGGCACTATCTTCACCCCAGTGCCACGATTTCATGGGTGATGTGTGTGCTTCTGGCGACCTCATTCGACATGAGAGATGAGCTGTCTCCTCCTTCTCTTCTTATTCTCTCCTCATATTTTCTCCCCTCATATTTCTCCTCTCCTTTTCCTATTTTCTCCTCCTTCTCTTCCTTCTCTTTTTTTCTCCTTCTCTTCCTTATCCTATTTTCTCCTCCTTCTCTTCCTTCTCCTATTCTCTCCTTTCTTCCTTTTCCTTTTCTCCTTTTTATTTTTTCTCCTTCGCTTCCTTCTCCTATTTGCTTCTCCTTCTCCTTTGTAATTTTTCGTTTCCTTTATTCTTCTCTTCCTTATTTTTCCTGTCCTTTTCTTTTCTTCTTATTGCTCCTCCTAATTTTCTTCCTTTCTCCTTTCTTTATTTCATCCTTCTCATTCTTTTTCTTCTCCGTCTTTTCCTACATATCTTTTCCTCTGTCTCTTCCCTTCTCCTCTTTTATTTTCTTCCTCCTCTTCTCTCCTATTTTTTCTCTTCCTCCTCTATTTCGTCTTTCTTTCTTTCCTTTCTTTTCTTTTCTCTCCTTAATCGTTTTCTTCTCCTCAACCTTCTTCGTCTTTTCCTCCATTTTCATCTATTAGTCCTTAGTCTTCTCCACATTAACTTTTTCTATTTATTCCTTTTCTTCTTATTTCCTTTTTTATAAGTAATTATGATTATTGTTAATAGAAACTCATAATTAGCATTGTTATCCTTATTATCATTTTCATTATTGTTGTTATCGTATTATCAATTCCATTATTATCATTGTTATCATCCTCATGATCATCATCATCCTCATTAGTTACTTTTATTATTACTACCAATATCTTCATTATTCTTGCTGTTATCATCATCATCATAATCCTTATCATTCTCAGTTATTATCTTTATCATTATCAAATTTTCCTAACTGAAAGTAATTGTTTTTTATTAATTATTTTTTCATTATTGTTGTTGATTCTTTTCAGCATCACCATCATCACCATTATCACCACTATCAATTATGATCAATTTCAATAATCATCATAATCATCGTTATCATCACCATCATTATAGTGATCACCTACCAGTCTAATATAAGTCTAATAATCACATTAATTTGCCGATTCTTTTACGCGTCCATGTTACGATCTATCAGTCTTCTATCTATTTTTCAGTTTTTATATATGGCATCTCTCTTTTTCTCAAACATAAACTATAAAATCTATAACACGAATTCGAGAAGTACGTTTGTGAAATGCAATATGGAAATTAATTGTTTTGCTTCAAATGCAATCATCAAAATAGACGCTGATACAAGAAATTAATTTTTTTTTTATATCTTGGTTAACCAGTGACAGGAACAGATAAATAAGATATGGTATTCTTCCTTACTTGGCTCGTAAAAAGTCAAAGAAAACGGAGTTGGATTCCTGGTATACTATGCTAATGTTGATTTCTGAATACCTTGGGGTCTCTCTCTCTCATCCTCTGCTCTCTTCTCTCTCTCTCTCTCATCTCTCTCTCTCTCTCTCTCTCGTCTCTCTCTCTCTCTCTCTCTCTCTCTCTCTCTCTCTCTCTCTCTTCTCTTCTCTCTTCTTCTCGTCTCTCTCTCTCTCTCTCTCTCTCTCTCTCTCTCTCTCTCTCTCTCTCTCTCTCTCTCTCATCTCGACATCTTCTGTAAATGATTCATTCTCTCCCTCTATATATAGACCTATTTCTCTATGATGAGATTCTCTTAAACAAAAAAAAAGAGTAAAAAGAACAGAAATAAAGGAAACGCCAGCGAAAATAAATTAATAGGCTACCAAGTTCACGGGGAGATATCGAGCGAAAACCGACCTTATGCAACTGCAGCTAAGTTCGATTATCGTCCGTGGTACCTTGATAACGGCTGTAAAATTCAAGTGTAAATTCCCTTAAGTGGCAACACATTGAGCTGTTCAAGAGTGACATCTAATTTGCATAGTCAGCCCTCCTTTGCCTTCTTTTCCGCTCTATTTCTATTTGTTTTTCTAATTGATATCATAGGCCTTAGATGGTTATAAAATTGCGAGATGATAACTGAGGATTCAACTTTTTCTTGTGCACAGATAGATTAAAAACACAGCGGACACACACAATATATATATATATATATTATATATATATATATATATTATAATATATATATATATATATATAATATATATATATATATATATATTAATATGGGTTGTATATATATATATTACATACATACACATCACATACATACATACATATATATATATATAGTATAATATATATATATATATATATATATATATATATATATATATATATATATATATACTATATATACATATTATACACACAATTATATAATTCCTGTTTTTCCTCCTTTTCATCTTAATAACGTTGCTACACATCGCGATAAAAGCAAGGGCTGCAGAAGCATTTTTTCCTATTCTCTTTTCATCTCTCTCCCTCTCACCTTCTCGCTCCTGCTCTCCCCCGTTCTCTATCTACTATTTTCCTGCCTAACTATTTATCTATCTATCTAGTTTCTTTTCTCTCTCTCTCATCTCTCTCATCTTCTTCTCTCTCTATCTATCTATCCATCTCTCTCTCCTCTCTCTCTCCATCTTCCTCTCTCTTCATCGTCTCTTCTCTCTCGTCTCTCTCTCTCTCTCTCTCCTCTCTCTTATCTGTCTCTCTCTCGTCTCTCTCTCTCTGCTCATCTCTCTCTCTCACTCTCTCTCTATCTATCTCTCTCTCTCTCTGGATGTGCAAACGCGAGAGAGAGAGGGGGGGGGGAGGGAGGAGGCAGAGAGAGGAAGAGAGATAGATATACATACAAATATACATACAAGTATACAGAAAGCTAGACATCCAGACTAAAAATCAAGGCGCAGAAACAGCCATTAAGAGAACCAGTCAAGCTCGTAAAAGAGACAGTAAAAAAAAAAACAGAAAAATTCTAGGAAGCAGAAACACAGACAAGCAAGCATGCAGAAAGACAGTCAAATAGAGCTGGGAGAGCCAAGTGTCCCCACGAGAGAGCAAGAACGAGAGAGAGACAGGAAAATGAAATAAAAGGAGAAAAGAGAGAGAGAGACACACACACACAGGAAAATAAAATGCAAGAAAAGCATCACTTCCACATTTTCGCCAACGTTATTACATTACCCTCTTTCCCTCGGTGGGTTTTGGAATTGAGACGTTCTGAGAGAGGTAGAGGATAGGGAGGGGGGAAGGGGGGAGAAAGAGAATGAGAAAGAGAGGGAGAGGGATGGAAAGGGAGGGGATGGAAGAGAGAGAGAGAGAGAAAGAGACAGAGAGACCTGGGGGAAGGGAAAGAGAGAGGGGGAGGGAAAGAGAGAGAGAGAAGAGGGAGAGAAAGAGAGAGAGAGAGATTGAGAGAATGAGTGAGAGAGAGAGGGGGGGGGGGGTAGGGAGAGGGAGAGAGAGAGAGAGAGAAAAAAATGGGAGGGAGGGAGAAAGAGAGAGCTAATTAAAGGGAAAAGCCAAGTAATTGGATAAAACCCAGACATCAAAAGTAAAAAAAGAAAAAAAAAAAAATGCAAGCTACAAAAATGAAAATGGGAAATGATTATAGAATATCTTTTCCCTACTTGCCTTCATTAAAAGTAATTACTAAGGATAAAGTGCAACTACACGAATCTTCCAAAGTTATATACAAACATATTTACGCAGACCCATACGTACACACACACACGCACACACACATACACACACACACACAAACAAGCTTACATACTATATATAATTGAAATCTTTTTTGACACCTATCCTTGCCTCTCACTCAGCTGTCTCGGTGGCGTTGTCCTGTTACCATAGCAACGCCAAGACGCGAGCAGGAGAGAATGGGCGACAAAACAAATTCAGTGATTTTCAAAACGGAAATATCAATCCGTGAGGGTCTCGTTGAGGCTGCCTTAAGTGGAGCAGTGCTTTGCAGTTTCTTCGACTGAATGTTAAGGCGTTGGATATTTGTGTATATTATGTATATATATATATATATATAATATATATATATATATATAATATATATATATATATATATATATATATATATATATATATATATATAATATATATATTATATATATATATATATATATATATATATATATATATATATATATATATATATATATATAATATATATATATATATATATATATTATATATATATATATATATATATATATATATATATATATAATATATATATATATATATAATATATATATTATATATATATATATATATATATATATATATATATATATATATATATATATATATTATATATATATATATATAGTATATATAATAATATATATATATATATATATATATATATATATATATATATATATATATATATATATATATATATATATATATATATCGCTTTCATCAGATTCTTCTTCATTATAGTTCTTCTCTGCGTCGAATCGGCGTTTAGGAGATCTACGACCTCATCACTTCTCGCCTCCCGCTCACCAGTTGCAACACTTCTTGCCCTTCTTGCACTGCTCCGTTTTTGTGCTTGGCGGACTGCTTCCTCTCCTTGCTCACCTGTTAGTGCTTGCAGACCTTGGGATTTCCAACCTGCTGCTTGCCGACCTGCTGCTGAACCTGCTGGTGCTTGCCAACCTGCTGGTGCTTGCCACCTGCTGCTGCTGCTGGCCAACCTGCAAACTTGCTGGTGCTTGCCAACTGCTGTTGCTTGCCGACCTGCTGGTGCCCCCTGCTGGTGCTTGCCAAACCTGCTGCTTGCCAACCTGCTTTTTGCTGCTTGCCAACCTGCTGTTGCTTGCCGACCTGCTGGTGCTTGTCAACCTGCTGGTGCTTGCCAACCTGCTGGTGTTTGCTGCCAAACCTGCTGTTGCTGCTGTGCTTGCCAACCTGACCTGCTGGTGCTTGCAACCTGTTGGGGTTTTGCTAACCTGCTGGTGCTTGCCAACCTGCTGTTGCTTGCCAACCTGCAAACCTGCTGGTGCTTGCCAACCTGTTGGCTAACCTGCTGGTTCTTGCCAACCTGCTGGTGCTTGTCAACCTGTTGGGGTTGCTGGTGCTTGCCAAAACTGCTGGTGCTTGCCAACCTGCTGGTGCTTGCCAACCTGCTTGGTGCTTGCAACAATGCTAACTGCTGGTGTTTGGCAACCTTGCTGGTGCTTGCCATGCTGCTTGCCAACCTGCTGTTGCTTGCAACCTGCTGGTGCTTGCCACCTGCTGGTGCTTTGCACCTGCTGGGGTTTGCTAACCTTTGCTTGCCAACCTGCTGGTGCTTGCCAACCTGCTGGTGCTTGCCAACCTGCTGGTGCTTGCCAAACCTGCTGGTGCTTGCCAACCTGCTGGTGCTTGCCAAACCTGCTGGTGTTGCCTACCTGCTGGCTGCCAACTGCTGGGCTTGCCAACCTGCTGGTGCTTGCCAACCCTGCTGGTGCTTGCCAACCTGCTGGTGCTTCCCAACCTGCTGGTGCTTGCAACCTGCTGGTGCTTGCCACCTGCTGGTGCTTGCCAACCTGATGGTGCTTGCTAAACCTGCTGGTGCTTGCCAACCTGATGGTGCTTGCCAACCTGCTGCCGACCTGCTTGTGCTGGTGCTTGCCAACCTGATGGTGTTTGCTGACTCGCTGGTGCTTGCCAACCTGATGTTGCTTGCCAACCGCTGGTGGCTTGCCAACCTGCTGGTGCTTGCCGACCTGCTGGTGCTTGCCAACCTGCTAACCTGCAGGTTCTTGCCAACCTGCTGGTGCTTGTCAACCTGTTGGGGTTTGCCTAACCTTGCTTGCAACTGCTGGTGCTTGCCACCTGCTGGTTGCTTGCTGGTGCTTGCCAACCTGCTGGTGCTTGTCAACCTGTTGGGTTTGCTAACCTGCTGGTGCTTGGCAACTTGCTGGTGCTTGCCAACCTGCTGGTGCTTGCCAATCTGCTGTTGCTGCCAACCTGCTGGTGCTTGTCACCTGTTGGATTGCTAACTAACCTGCTGGTGCTTGCCAACCTGGTGCAACCTGCTGTTGCTTGCCAACCTGCTGCTGCAACCTTTGAACCTGCTGGTGCTTGCCAACCTGCTGGGATTTGCCAACTGCCTTGCCACCTGCTGGTGCTTGTCAACCTGTTGGGTTTGCTAACCTGCTGTGTGCTGCCAACTTGCTTTTGCCAACCTGTGCTTGCCAACCTGATGGTTGCTGACTCGCTGGTGCTTGCCAACTTGATGGTGCTTTGCCACCTGCTGGTGCTTGCCAACCTGCTGGTGGCTTGCCAACCTGCTGCTGGTGCTTGCCAACCTGCTGGTGCCTTGCCGAACGCTGCTTGGTGCTTGTCAACCTGTTTGGGGTTTGCTAACCTGCTGGTGCTTGCCAACCTGCTGTTGCTTGCCAACCTGCTGGTGCTTGCAACCTGCTGGTGCTTGCCGAACCTGCTGTCTGGTGTTGTCAACCTGTTGGGTTGCTAACCTGCTGGTGCTTGCCAACCTGCTGTTGCTTGCCAACCTGCTGGTGCTTGCCAACCTGCTGTGCTTGGGCTGTGCTTGCCAACCTGCTGGGTGCTGTCAACCTGTTGGGTTTGCTAACCTGCTGGTGCTTGTCAACCTGTTGGGGTTTGCTAACCTGCTGGTGCTTGCCAACCTGCTGTTGCTTGTCAACCTGTTGGGGTTTGTTAACCTGCTGGTGGCTTGCCAACCCTGCTGGTTGCTTGGCCAACCTGCTGGTGCTTGCCAACCTGCTGTGCTTGCCGACCTGGCTTGCTAACCTGGGCCAACCTGCTGGGTGTGCTTGCCAACTTGCTGGTGCTTTGCCAACCTGCTGTTGCTTGCCAAGCCAACCCTGCTGGTGCTTGCCAACCTGCTGGTGCTTGTCAACCTTGTTGGGGTTTGCTAACCTGCTGGTGCTTGCCAAACCTGCTGTTGCTTGCCAACCTGCTGTGCTTTGCCAACCTGCTGGTGCTTGCCGACGCTGCTGGTGCTTTGCCAAACCTGTTGTTTGGGGTTTGCCTAACAAGCTGCTTGGGCTTTTGAGCTAACCTGCCTGTGCCTTGCTGCCAACTGCTGGTGCTTGCCAACCTGCTGGTGCTTGCCAAACCTGCTGTTGCTGGCCAACCTGCTGGTGCTTGTCAACCTGTTGGGGTTTGCTAACCTGCTGGTGCTTGCCAACCTGTTGGGGTTTGCTAACCTGCTGGGACTGAACACGTATTTCTTGGGTTGAGCCCCAGCCGCTCCTTCTCGCGTTTTGACTCCTCCAAAATCAGGCCCTGCACCAGCTCCCACAAGCCCGACTTGTTTGTGCTCGTTAGCGATCTTTGGCCAGCTGCTGCGGCAGGAGCTTGGCGAGGGCGGCCCTCATGTTGCCAGGACCTGCGACCACCAGCTCTCCAATCAGCAGTTCGCCCGTCTTTGCAACGAACGCCTTCATCATCTGCTCCAGCACTAACTTGAGGTGCTGAGCGCGGTTCTCTTCGGCCTTCTGCTGCCGCTTCTGCGCCTGCTTGGTGTAGCCGTCCTTCTTGGCGTTCACCTTGAGCTCCTGCTCGCGCGCGTGGTGTGTGTGTGTTTGTGTGTGTGTGTGTATGTGTGTATAAATATATATCTATATGACGCTCCTTGTATTCCTCTTATGCTTTGCCATCCGCCTCGCCGTCTTCGTCTTCGTCTTCTTCCTCTTACTCTTTTCTTTTTTTTCATCGGATACTGACGAGCTGCTAATCTTCGGGCTTTCCTCAGATTCTTCATCAGATCTTCAGATTCTTCCTCGGCTTCCTCCAAGGCCGCCTTTTAGGCTTACTCTACGGCTGCTCTCTTGGTCGTCCTTCTATAAGCATATCTGTACGTGCGTTCATTCATGTATAACCATGCATTTTTATAATATATACATATGTAGGGGCATACACACACACACACACACACACACACACACACACCACACACACACACACACACACATATATATATATATATATATATATATATATATATATATATATATATATATATATATATATATATATATATATATATATATATATATATAATATCGTCGTCTTTATAATATAAATACCTGTCATTTTTTGCGGTATCTCGTTTTTTTGTCCATATTAAAGCTCCTTTCTGTGACACAAAACGCCTACAGCTGAAGTGTGCAATGAGAAAAGTGTGAGGGAAAACAGGGTAAGGGGATATGCACTTTGAGGGAAATGTGTAGGGAAACAAAATAGAGGGAGCCTTGTTTGCGGTTCTCAATAGCTATGTGCTGATGCCTGCAGGATTTTGGATATTTTTTGTACTCTGTGAACAAGTGCATTGTACTATTTACCCTTTCACTTCAGTTGAGGTTGCCTAACCTGAGTAAAGTCGTTTGGCATTAGCCAGAATATGCACTGAAAGTCACAGAACTGGGATGTTAAGGGGAACAGAACTGGGGGTTAAGAGAGAAGTTTCAAAGCTCCCGATTTCATTACTGAAAAGTTTGCCTCTGCTAAATAGAAATGTATACACTGGCGTAGCACCTATTGGGCACCGAAGGCTTGGGCTAACATTTTATTGCAAAAGGTATTCAAAAGGTTAAATTTTCAACAGATTTATAACATGAATTTTTCATTAAAGAATCGCTCAGAATGTAGGAAATCACATCACTAAAAATCCTAAGGGAACATGACCCTGGTCCTTCGGAGCTTTGTTGCGCGGGCACGGTGCTCAGAAGTTATAGGACCTACACTGTCTTTTTATTAGAACTGTGTCCCTGGTATGGTATAAGACACACTGATAAAGATCGTCACTGGACAGTTATGCCTTTCGACAAAAATACTAAGAGCAATTCAGAGCCGGAAGTTGTAACTGTGAAACGCCAGACAGCAATTTGGAGCTGCAAGTTGAACCTCGGATACCTGGGATGTCAGATGCAATTATTGATCCAAATCTGAATGCTGATGATGATTCAGATTGATCTGCTCCCACCACCCAGATGATGATCTATCAAGCTCTATGACTGAAGGAGCTGATGATGCATCGATATAGATAGATTTGATCACTAAGAAAATACTGGTACTGGTGAAAATGTAAGCATATATATGGACATTTACTTTTGATATCAATGACTGTGTCGTTTGTGAAAACACTTCGTTCACTAATTATATTGGTCATGGTTTTGAACATGCATAGAACAGTTGAACGACTAGTTATTGATGTATTCACTAAGCCAGTGTGCAATGATTAAACCAGTCCTATTCACTTTCAAACAGATGAAGCAGCGACACTTCCTAAATATGGAGAAGAGATGAAACACCAACATCAGGCCAGGAAAAAAGATCCATTGGGTTATGATTAACAAAGAGGGGGTGGCAATAGTCTTGGGTCCCATTGAGAACCCTTTGCAGTTCTGGGGAACTCTTTCAGAAGGTCTATGAATGTTATTTATCTTTTTCTATGTACTGGATGCTTAAGAATTGCCTGTCTTAAGTGAACATTGCATTAACAAAATTGTCCTAGATCAGTTTTAATTAAATTTCATTTCGATCAATAATAATCTAATCTCTACTGGATGCAATCAGTGAGTTTGTGGAAAACTCAGGTGAAATATTGTCATTTGCAGACATAAACAGAGATATACTGGGTGAAGATCATCATACATGTGAGCATAGAGTTAAACAGAATGAAAACTAAAGAAATATTTTCAAATAAACTGTGATAAACCACCAGTGACATATCTGATAATAAACCAAGTGCAAAAATGTTTGCTTTATCAGATGGAATCGAGTGGTTTTCACAGTTGAGATATATATCTTTTCTTATAGATTAATTCTAATGCTCAAAGTATGTCTAACTTGATCTCACAATCTTGCTAGATTTTCATGCACAACAATTCTGTATGTCGTCATCTCCACACAGACTAGCATTGAATATAATCTGCAATGATTGAACACTGTCTCTCTCTAACCATCTACTGCTCTTGGTGCGAGGAATCCTCACCAGCGGACATATTACTAGGTGTTTACGTTTGCCATGTTACCTTTTAAGTCGCTCATTACGATTGCCGAAATAAAATTTAAATTGTCTTTTAACCAATCTAACAAGTATCTCAGCTTATGTGGTCAATTGAGAGATAACCGCAAGCTCTATTTAATTTTACAAAGTTAACAATTTCATCATAACGTCGTATCCCTATGACTGATGGATGGTAATTTATCCCTCGTCGAAACTTGTGCGGATAAAAATGTACACTGCGCTGTGTGTGGTCTGGCTGTTGTGTGTAGTGTGTGGTAGTCCGTCCAGATTCGCTCTGTGTGTGTTCGTCGTGTGGTCGCATCCCCGTCGCTTGTTTTTGTTCGTGTGTGTGGGTATGTAGTCTTGATGCTGAGTTTTGGTTTGTGTGTTGTCCTTGTTGTGTTGTGTGTGTGCTCGTACGGCTCAGTTTCTGTGGTCTGGCGCTTGATAATAGCTGGATGTGGTGTCGTTTTCGTGTATCTATTTTGTCCACAGACTCAGTTGAAATGATGTGTGGTAGTGTAGTCAGCTTGCTATCCATACTGAGTTGAAAAGATATAGCGGCAATCGAGAGTTTAGATGATCGTGTATGCACCATCCTGTGAGGAGTTGTGTGTCATGTTATTATCGATGAGCCATCTATTATCACTGTTATTATATCTTGTGTTCTTCACTGGGTTTCATTCTTAACGCCCTATATGTGTTTCGCCATTTGACATTGGAAATCCCTAGAATATAAAAACTTCTTTCAAGTTGTTTTTAAAGCTTGCTATTTGGAGAGTTCTGTTTAATTCAACAAAAAGATATACCGAATTCGAGTTCAGCCAATATCCTATTCATGTTATTTTTTATTCCCGTTTTTCGTTATTGGCTAATTCTATTGCGAAAGTAAATTAGAACATTTTTTTAAATGGATAGTTTTTGCTGATATTTCAATTTTAATATCCTTTTTGCTTTTAGTTTACCCATTCAATTCAAGGTCTCTCATATCGTCTCTTCTCATCTCTCTCTCTAGCTCTCATCTTTTTCTCTCGTACTGGCATGTACTCATCTCTTTCTGATTCATTTCCGCGATTCCTACTTCTCATCTAAGTCTTCTCCTCCTTTCTTCTTCAAGTCTCAGCTCGCGACTCTCATCACCTTTCCATCATTCCCTCGCAGTTACTACGATCGAACAAGCCAGAACTATCACAACTACCCACAGCACACACGACACACACAACACACCAACATCAACACACACATCTACTCACAAGCACACAAAAAATCACACACACACACATTGGGATCATATTGGGCATCGGACCTTCCCGGTTCGATTCAACTTGGGAGGCCAAGCTGTGTGGCGGTCCACAGTTACGTTTCCGGCTCTGAATGCTGCTTATATTTTTGTCGAAAGGCAATAACTGTCAGTTGCGATGTTGATATGAGGTGTTATAACCCAATACATGACACAGTTCTAATAAAAAGACAGTGTAGGCTCATAACTTGAGCAACCGTGCCGAGCAACAAGGCTACTGAAGGGCGGGCTCGTCCTTAGGATTTTAGTGATGTTGATTCACATCATACACGATACACGCAACTACTACTACTCCATAGCAAAAGATTCATGTTAAGAATCGTTGAAAATTTACCTTTGTGAATACTTTTGCGAAATAAGACAACACACACACACATAGCATAAAGGCAAAGACCAAAAGCACCTCAAGTGCAACCCAAAATAACGAGTGAACATGCTCACGACGCACTACACAAGTAAATAGCACATACACACACACACACACAGGACACACAAGTCCTGCCATACATAAAATCCCTACGCAATATTTCTTATTGCAATATCACTAATAAGACAAGCAAGTGTACAACAATCCTCTCCATTCACCCACACAGTTGTCTGTTTGAATGCCGGCCCGGGCCTACAGTTGCAGGTTGCAGTAGTGGTCATGTTGTCTCACAATTATCCGCAGCAGGAAACCGCCAATGGATTCTTCTAATTGACGTGCTGCCGGATGTGAGCGGGTGAAAATGCGGCGCTGTAGTTCAGGTTGTCACTCAACCTTAGCCCTGATGAACCGTGGCTTTAGAATATCCTACAGTCCAGTTAATCGCGAAATCCCCCCCTCTCGCCCCCCGGTTTCAGCTCGATTTTCCCCCTTGGTGACACCCCCTTCACTGTTCTTTTCTCGTTGAGATCGTTCTCCCAGTTCCTACTCACTGTCGCTTTTCTGAGTTCTCACCTTGTTCCTACAATTCTTGCTTTCATCTTCTCCCTTCTGCCATAATCATACTTCTTTTTCCCTCCACTCTCATCTCTTTCATACTTTCCTGCCTCCTGATGTATCTCTTCTCTCCTTCTTCTAACTTTCCTCACTTATCCACCCTCTTCTTCTTATTTGTATTAAAACTCCCTGATCTCCTTACTATGGGTGCCTTCTTCTTTCAATATTTATGATACCCCTCTCACTTGGATCATCCTCCTTCTTTTGGGTTTCTTTTCTTCTTGTCATCTTCTCACTCCGTAGGTGTTCGTTTTCATACTTCTTTCATCTCATTACATCCTTTCCTGCCTTTTTGTATCTTCGCTTCTTCACACTTCTACATTCTCGCCTTCATTCTCTTCTTCTTCATCTTCTCCCTTCTCTTCTTTTCTTTTCTTGATCTAGTCAATCTCGGGCTAGAACAAAGCTTCGCCTTCCTACTTCTCTTTTCGTTGGTTCCTCTCATTCACACTATCCTTCTACCATAGTGCGTCTTCTTCTTCTATCTCTTGCATTCTTCTCTCCTTCTCCCTCTTCTCGTTCTTCTCTTACACTCATCTTTCTTCCCTTCTTCCTTCTTTTATCTGGTTCACTTACTGCTTTGGCTTTTGCCTTTAGGTCCCGCTTTGTGCGGCTATGACGGCAGCTCAATTGGATACAACCGGATTGCGCCGCCTCCTCCCTCGCATGTTAGTATCTTCTCAGAACCATATTTAATTACTTATAAGACCATAATGATTCCTCTATCCTATCCTCTCCTAGTCATTTTCATTCTTATTCTCACCTTCTATATCTCTTAACTATTCTTCATTCCTTACCTGTTCTTCATCACATGCTCTCTCCTATTACTCATATTCTATCACTTTATTAATACCCTTACCATAATCTCTCACCATTTTACTCTTATATTATAATATACTATACTACCTATATATATATAGTGTGTGTTGTGTGTTGTGTTGTGTGTGTGTGTCTTTGCTTGTCCGTGTTGTTGTGTTTGCTCCGTTGTTGGTATTTCCCTTCTTTCTTTCATATCTCCCACTTCCTTTCCCTTTTCTGT